GAACGCGAAATAATATTATATAACGTGTGATGTATTTAACTCGATTACCTTGAACATTTAAAAGAAACAACCGATCGAAAATATTTTTAAAAATATCTCGATAAAATGAAATATAAAATAAAAAAAAAAGAATATTTGATTGATTATTATATGTGTTATTGCTTACTGGATGCTTGAACGAAGAATATTAATTTAAGTGGTAATAATTCTTTGTGACGAAAATCTTTGGCGATACGCCGAAAAAAACTCTTGATCAGCATCATCATGTTCGGTTTTGTTTTTTTCTATTTTCCTTTTTTTCTTTTTTTTGGGAGTAATTTTGTATCTCGTCGTCAGTAATAGTAGCTGATAAATAAACTACTGTGACAATTCTTAAATATCAAATCTCGCCTGACCTGATCGTCTTATCATTCTCAACACTAAATCCTTGTCGTTTCGTAATCTGTGTGTGTATAAAATACAAATTGATTAATTATTTATGAACAACTTATTAGAAATTTAAATTATGGTATAATAGAGACAATCATTATTTTATGTATGTATGTAAAAAAAAAAAAAAAAAACAAACAAACAAACGAAGTATCTTACTTTAATCGTTGTTATTTTTATCTTTCAATACATTTTATTTCCTGTTAACAACAAGTTAAACACATAATTTCGTTTAAACATAATCTCACTATTTCGATATATATATATAAATGCGAATATTAAATATATTATTATATTTGTTACGGTATAACTATTTGTTAAAATGAATATATTATTCGTTTGTCGAACGAGATTATAAATTGTTTATGAGTAAGAGTAACTTGACAGGCTAACGATTCAATTCAAACTGACAAGAAGAAACAAGAAACGTTTGGTATAGATACCGTTGTCTTCTGTAAATTGGGCGTGTCAAAAACATTTGTTACGTTTAATTTTACGACTAAGAAAAAAAAAGAATAGAAAAATAAAAACAAATATTATTAATAACAGAAGTATTATTTGTATAAATCGTTAGTAATCTAGTGTCAAAATAACAAGTGTGCTAAATAACAAGAAATATGAACATTAACGTTGTTTTAGCAAGTCATGTATATATATATGATCCGAATCATTAGAAACTTATGTTAGAAAAAAATAAATGAAATATACTTTATCGAATTTCAAAACTTCAAACGAATCGTATTAACGAGATTTTACTTGTAATTATTTTTTTGGTTTCTTTTTCTTAAATAAAAATCATTCTGAATTTTAATCATTTTTCACATAGTTGAATGAAATAATTTAAGATGAACAAAAAAAACCTTTTGTTTCGAATACTCGATCGTATAATATTATTTTTTTGTTGATTAATTGTTAACGTTTGATCGACTAAATCCTGTCAATGATATTTTACAAACATTTGATCATCATGTAGTAGTACAGTATGTCAATAGAAATGTCACGACTTTTACATAACGGTTTTCACAATATACGACCAATCGTGTCATGATACTTCCGTCCGGTTTAACGATGAACCATAGAATCCTTTTTTTTTTTAAACCATCAAGTATTGTATTCGAAAAATCAAGATTTGAATATTTTTATTTTATATTCTATTTAAATTTTTATTAAAATAAATCATCAGTATAATCAATGGTATCAACATATGTATAAATATATTTTTGATATTACAAATATAAAAAACGATTAATATTTACATATAGAATTATATAATAAAATTGAACTATACAGTTACATATTGATACAATATACATACTGATATTTTATTATAAATCATATAATATTTTAAATATAATAAATTAAAAATATTATTTTGATCCAAAATAAAAAAAATAACAGATTGAAAATAAAAGTATCTTTTCAAACAAAAAAAATGTTCGTTGAAAATTCCATTGATCTTCGAGTCACGGACAACAATAACAATAATAACAATTATTCATTCTTATAATTACGTAATAAAATAAACCTAATCCGTAATATTAATTGACAAAAGTTTCAATTAGAATATTATCTCTTCCTTGTTTATAGATAATATTATTACTCGACACAACTTGTATCTTATCAATCATTTTATTAGTCTATGACTAATTACTTTCTGATTATAATTAATTAAAAAAATATACAAATATACGAAGAATTCTATCAAATTAAAATAATGCTTCATCAATATTTTCGCGCGCGAATAATTTTTCTTTTAATATTTCTCATTTATTTATTTATAATAATATCTCTCCCAACTTTTAAATATGACTCGCGTCCAATTGTCAAGATAATAATTTTAAAATGTTGTCACCTATTGCAATTTATTTACCTCGAGTATAGTTTTACCAACAATATCGCAAAAAAAAAAAATAAGAAAAGAAAATCGATCTCGAAATCGGACAAAAATCAAATGACACGAAATGATTTTTTTTGCGTAGTTTTATTAATCTCTCCCCACCCCTCCACCTTCTCGTTTGTCTCATCTCTTGGAAATAAAAAGTTGATACGATCTGTAATATAATTGTAAAACAATTTTTAATTTCTATTACGTAGAATGTGTATCACGTGTTTAAAAGCATGCACAAATCATTGTTTCTTTTTTTTATCTCCCCGTCTCTTCTTTCTTTTATTTTTTTTTTTTTTTTTTAATAAAAAATACCGACCACACACACACACACACACGATTTTAATAAAATTATATAAATATCATCCTTCTTCGCATTTTTTTGTTCGCTAGGATACCAGACGACACGAGCTATTAAATAATTAACAATAATGCATCTCATCGGTTACAAACAATGTGAACAATAATCATCTTGAGTGAGTATCGATTAAATGTATAGGAAAGAAAAAGAAAAAGAAAAGAACAAATTAATAATAATAAACAAATATAAGCCATCCGCGTGTCATTCGACGGGAAACGGGGAAAGAAGAAAATTCCACGAAGGATGTTTACGTTCGTTAACATTAGATAATTTAACGTTACCTAATGGAAAAATTGTCGTCTCGACTATGATTGATCTGTGTAAATATATACTAGTGAAAGCATTTTAAAAAAAAAAAAGAAGAAAACAACAGCATAAACGAATCAACTAAAAAATAAATTAATAAATAAATACAAATAAATAAATACATACATATATACACAATTTTAACTAGTGTATGCTCATTTTATGTTGCAATAAAATCTTGAGAAAAATTATTAAAAAAAAAAAAAATAGAAAAAAAACAACAGCATAAACGAATCAACCAAAAAATAAATTAATAAATAAATACAAATGAATAAATACATACATATATACACAATTTTAACTAGTGTATGCTCATTTTAT